CCATCTTACTGGGGAGAGATTTCACATTCCCCATAATCAAAGAAGTAATACGTAGTTTATAGCGTTGTTTCTTCTCCCGGCACCTTGTTCCATCCCTGCATCCCCTCCTACTTCGTCTTATCTCCGTGGGGATCTCTGGTCTTTCCTCTGGAGTATCCTTGTCCTTGTGTTGCACAAGTGTATAGAATGGAGCCATGGCTGAAAGGATAACCTAAACTTGTTTTAAATAGTCCAAAAAAGTAAAAAAACATAGTAACCTCAACAGTTGTGCATCCCTAGGTGCACACAGTCGACTAAAACCAGTGTAGATGAAAACACAGAAAAGAGGTCGGAGCTSCTGTAACTAGCTGCCACTCGTAAGGCGTCATCTTGATTTCACTTTTTCAATTGCTAGAGAGATGGCTGTTGCCTCTGCCTTCATTGCCCTGTATTATTCTTGTCGCTAATTCTGAAGCAAGAGCATTGTGAAATGCTGAAAGCTAGTGACGTATATTTAAATTATGCATATATAGTAGGGGTGTGACGAGATCTTGTGCCACAAGATCTCGCGAGATTAAACTCAATGATATTTCTCGTTGCGTTAAAAATCTGTCTCGTGAGATTTCCTCTGTCTAAATGAGAGCAAGACAGAATGTATTTTGTTTGGCTCATCAAACCCGCCTAGTACAACACCTGGTCTTGGTCCACTGGTATCCTTCTGTAACAATGTTGTTAAAAATCTGGGAGTGAAATTGGATTCCAGTCTTAAATTTGACTTACCAATTAACGCTGTTGTGAAGGCAAGCTTCTTTCAGCTTCGCCTACTTTGAAAAGTTAAGCCGTTTCTGAGCCGCTGTGACCTGGAAAGAGCCATCCATGCCTTTATTAGCTCAAGGCTGGATTACTGCAATATACTGTACATTGGACTTAGCCAAGCATCTCTCCACCGCCTACAACTGGTACAAAATGCTGCTGCCAGGCTCCTAACTAACACCCGTAAACACGATCCGACATACCTGTACTTTACTCCCTTCACTGGCTACCTGTACAATTTAGGATCCAGTTTAAAACTTTATTATTCATCTTCAACACAATAAATGGCCTTGCAACCACCTACAGTACATAAGCGAAACCCTGAAGCTCCACCAAACCGGCAGAGGTCTCTGCTCTGCTGGTCAGCACCTGCTAGAGGTCCCCCGATCCAGGAGCAAACAGTGGGGTGACCAATCATTTGCAGTAGCAGGTCCCAAACTTTGGAATGCACTGCCCTCTGAGCTACGCACCACCACTGACCTGCCTCTGTTCAAAACCAAGCTAAAAACATACTTGTTTGAGCAAGCCTTCAAATGAAACTGTTGTTCTTGTCTCGTGTTTGCTGTTTCTGTATGTTGGATTTGCAATTGTGAAGCACTTCGGTCAACCCTTGGTTGTTGTAAGGTGCTATATAAATAAATGTTGATTGATTGATTTGTGAGCTATCCAAACTTCTATTTGTGACCTGTGGGAGCAGTAATGCACCTTTGCTATGTCTACGTTTTACAGACAGCTGTTACTGACTGGGAACTTAAAAAACCCTACCACAGCATTGCTATTGTTACTTACAATGCACGTAATATGGACGTGGCCGTGCGCGAGGCAGGATTGAAGCCGCACATTAAGTGTTTAGCTCACACTATAAATCTTGCAACCCAAGCTGGCCTCGGTGTTCCCTCCGTCGCTCGTTTGCTCGGGCGGGTGAGATGTGTGGCTGCTTTTTTTCAACAGAGTTCAACGGCTACCAAGGTGTTAATGTCCAAGCAGAAACAGCTACAATTGCCATCACACAAGTTAATCATGGACGTTATGACGCGATGGCACAGCACGTTGGATATGCTGGCTCGTTACCTCGAGCAGCAAGCTGCCATAGCAGCAGCTCTCACCAGCCCAGAGATAAGGCAAAATGCCCGAAGCATTGATACACTTGACAGCTGCGATGTCAGAGATGCTGAAGACCTTGTGAAGCTGCTGCATCCTTTGAAGACAGCCACCACAGTGTTGTGTGAGGAGAAGAATCCCACAGTGTCTCTAATTGTGCCACTGAAGAGCATGATTGAACAGAACATGAAACCAAATGATGAAGATTCCACCACTGTGGCCAACACAAAGACTGCAATCGTCACAAATACTGCAAACAGATACAGTGGGGATGCCTTCAACTATCTGCTGGAGTACACAGACCCAAGGTTCCGGACTCTACCTCAGCTAGACCATGACCAGTGTGAGGCCGTCTTCCTGAGGGTACAGAACAAGGCAGAACAGTTGCTGCAAAAACAGGTATATATGAGTCCAACAGTTCAAAACAGGCTGAGAGGGAAGTTGAAAACTACGGAAAAGAGGCCTCTATCCCTCTCAGTGGCTGCCCTCTGAAGTGGTGGCAAGAACACTGCTCCCAATATCCTTTGCTGTCTCACCTTGCCAAAGCGTGCCTTTCTGTCCCTGCTACCTCCTGTCCAAGTGAGCGCATCTTTTCAACGGCAGGAGACATAGTCAATGCACAAAGATCCCAACTGCTGCCAGAGAATGTGGACATGCTAATATTCTTTAAAAAGAACATGGCTGTGTAGTTGCAGCATGTTGTTAAT